GAATTGGTTATGCCATGAGCTGGTATCTGCTGAGACCTGGAAAAACCGCTAAACTCCTGATCTACAGAACGAGTAACCTTGCATCTGGAGTTTCAGACCGGTTCAGTGGAACTTATTCTGGATATGAATTTACACTGAACATACGTGGAGTCCAGCCTGAGGATGAAGGAGAATATTACTGTATGGGGACTTACAGTAGCGTGTGCTCACAGTGAAACAGCATCGTACAAAAACCTCCATCAGTCCAACGACACAATGAATGTACTCATGCAGTAACTATGAACTTATTTCCAGTAAATGCGAAATTAATTCCTTTGCATGAAGAAAATATTTAATCATTCTACTATGATTCTGTGATGAATTAATCATTCATCCTTCAAATGCATAAATCCCATTTGAAGACTTCAGATTATTAGCTCTAATTTTAATGTAATCTAAGTAAAATAAGCTAAAAGTAATCAACAAAATACTTTATGTACTTTATATACTTTTACATTTTGACTTTTTTATTTTGTTTTTTTTGTTTAAAATGTTCATAGAATTTAACGCCATATTTGAGACAAAATGCTTTTATTTGGCAGCAAGAGAAAAATGAGCAACAAAACTTTCATATCATTGTAGTTGTAGAATTACAACAGATAAGAATATATGAGCAATATACCAACAGCATGAAACGGCATACTGACAGCGGTGTGTGTGTGTGTGTATTTCATTCATCACACTGCTGTGTGTCGAGGCTCTTGGTCACTGCATTGTGGGACGGGTGCGTGGCGTCACAGCTGATGGTTGTTGCTCTGCTCCACTCACTCTCAGTGAGGCTCAGGCTGCTGCTCCAGCTGTACAGTCCATCCTTCTGCAGCTGACTGGGACTCAGATTGACACCAGAGCTCCTGCTGCTGCCGTCCACCTTCCAGCTCAGCTTCCAGTCAGAGGGGAATCCCTTACTGGCCACACACAGCACTGTAGCCTTACCCTGCTGCAGCTCGTCTCTGGAGGGAGGCAGCACTGTGAGAGCGGGACGAGTCGCAGCTAAAGAGAGACACAGATGGAAACTGTGATGTTTCATTCTTCTGAAAAACAGCTCTATCAGTCTTTCTGAGTGTCTTTCACTTCCCTTTAAGAGATTCAGAGTTAATCAAGCAGATCTGAAGTGCAGCAGCCCATAAAAAAAGTTTTACCAGCCATCACACATACTTTATAATTTGTTCATTATAGATAATGTTATATTATATGGTTTCTGTCAACATATATTCATGTTATTGCTCAATTATTTGTTAAAAACCTACTGTATTAGATATAGCTGCTTGTAGTTTGAAAACCACCAGAAGAAAACATATTTGTCTCATGTGACATTCAATGAAAAAAGTAATTAAAAAAACTTAATCAACACTGTAAAATAATGCTGCAATTAGATATATCAATTTAAGATTTTTGAGATGCATTAAATATCCAGCTTAACCAAAATAAACTCATTATTTTAAGTAGAGCAAACGCTTAATTTTGAAACAACACATTATTTATTTTAATGTTGAATTCGAAGTTGTGAAGCAGATCTGAAGTTCAACAGCCTGTAAAAACACATTAGTAATATTCATATTCATATAGTCAGTGTTCATAAAAATCAAGATTTATGACTATATGAGACTTAAATTTATTGGATTTATATTTATCTTTCAGGTTTATATTCTGAACAATATATTCAGACCTTGACGTGTATCCGATGCAGCACTATGGCAATACTATAGGATACATACAGGGATCCTCGTTCCCTTAGCAACTGAACTGTTTGTGAAAAATCTCTTTTTATGTTTGGCTGTTTGATAGGCAGAGGGGATCCCCACGCTATCGTGTTTTATTTTGTTCCTCTATGCATTAAATAATGTCCCTTTTTTTCCTCCTCATGAAAAATGTAAAAAATGAAAGACATTTATTTTCAGTTCATAATTACATGTTTATTGCCCCATTTTACAGTACTTATATAGTAACTGATATCTGAAACCGTAGTTAGACATATTTCTATTTCACGTGAAGTGCATAAACCTAATCTATAAAATGCATATATTTTATTTACCACTCAAATAGATAAAAAGGTAAACTAACTAATTTCAACCCATTTAGAAGTAGGCCTATACATGCTGTTACACAAGGCAAAAAAAATGTCTGAGGATAGCCTATTTTTTTTATTTTAGGTACTCTTCTTCTATTGGTCTGTTCTTCTTCTCCTTATTATTATTACTAACTAATTAATTAATAGAAATCGAAACAGATCAGTTTAATTTTAATGAATTAAAAAAATTTATTAAATATTATATAATTCTAGGTAACACTTTATTTTAAGGTGTCTTTGTTACACGTTACATGTACTTATTATTATAGTAACAATAAATTATGCATAATTACAAACAAGAAACCCAAAACAAACCCTAATCCTAACCCTAACCATATAGTAAGTACATGTAGTTAATTGATATTACTTAGTACTTGTGAATGTATAATTACACTGTAACAAGGACACCTTAAAATAAAGTGTAACCTAATTCTATTACTAAGAATAATACAAACATTACTGCACTATTAAGAACAAAATAAGCACATCAACACTTTCATGTAAAATAATATTTAAGCATTTAGTTCACATAATATTATTTTTTATTTACCTTTTATATCTAAATTTGATTTGGCTTTTATAGTGTAATTTACAATCATTTATTACTTATACAGTATCAGTGCAATCAGTATTTAAACAGTAACAATAATCTCTAAATATGCTGCATTGTTATCTACTGTAATCTATTCAGGGCCATTGTTACTGTTTATCCATCTTATTTCACTCTGCGCTTACTTTCAACACCCAAGTTGGTTCCTCCAACACAAATCCACCACAATAATTACTTCTCATTCACGGAAAAAAAACAACTTTTTTTTAGATAACAGACATGTTTTAATTAAACTAGATGATTCACTTACACATCAGATATGTATATATTACAAAGCCAGTCATCATATGAGAGAAGATATTTCAGTTCAGGAAGGGTTTTTACATTATAATGATATTTTGCATTGGCAGCTCATGCATCAGTGCGCTGGGAGTGTTTATAGTGTCAACACTTTGAAAAGGTCCAAGAACTGTCCGCTCTAAAACACAAGCCAATATGATTCTCTTCATCTGGGCATTTTACTGCATCCAAGGTAATTTCATTTTCAAATCATACTGAAATACTTTTTTCTTATGCACTTATAATTATTTTAATTCAGTTTTCTGTCTCTCGCAGGTTCTTTTGGGCAGGTTGTCGTGACTCAGTCTGAGGCTGAATCAGTTCAGCTCGGTCAAACAGTCTCCATTGACTGTAAGGCAAACACTGTAGTTTATAGGTATCCACAGGGCTCAGTATCCAAAGATTATTATATCTCCTGGTATCTTCAGAGGCCAGATGAACCCCCTAAACTCCTTATATATTTCACAACAATGAAGCCTTCAAGTGCTCCATCTAGAATGAGCGGTGGAGGCAGTTTTCACTCTGGAGGAAATGGTCTTGATTTCAGCCTGAACATAAACGATGCCCAGCTTGAAGATGCAGGAGATTATTACTGTATGAGTTACCATGAGATCAGTAGTAAAGCAGTGTTCACACAGTGAAAAAATCCTGTACAAAAACCTCCCCACTGACAATCTTCTGCAGATGCTTCTGAGACCTGCTGACAGGAGAACAAAAAAAGGGGTTTGCGGTGACATACATTACATATATATTTTTAAAAATCTAATACTTTTAAAATCTGTTTATTTTGATCAATCTTCTTTCTTATGTAGTTGTCTCTGTAATCTAAATGTTACCATTTATCCATATCATATTCACGTTCTGTATATTATTGACTGAAACCTCACCTCCAGGTCAGCTATAATATAAAATATTTGGGTTATGTAAATATGTGTAAGTAAGAATTACACCAACCCTTGAAAACAGTATAACTTCAGAGAGAGGTGCATTCCCCAGTAGGCTATATCAGTCAATCTGAATCAATCATGCAATTAAAAATCTAAGGAATAGGACACAATATCAAAATAACAAATCATAATATAATATTTTATTATTTTTTAATTAAGATGAGTAACTCTTGTTTTTCACAGTAAAATGAACCTGAAAGAAACTATATCAAATAAATACATATCAATTATAAAACTGTATTTACCCTTAGTGTTCTTATTTCATTCATTTAATCTTATTATTATGGAAATCAAATGTGTGTATCAACTGTCCAATGGCCAATAAAACCAAACTCAAAGAAAGCAACGTGTAATGTTTTACTGTCCTCTACTGGATTCTGAGACTACAAGAGCACACAAATTAGAAGCACGTGACCTCAATTTAACCTGTTCAGTGATGTGTCGACTCCTGAACTCCATTCAGCTGTGAAGAGCTCGAGTTGTGCATAAGCAACATATAGACAATGTTTTTAAATCACAGAACGGTGAGTTTAACCGACAGTTGTTGGTCATTACAACAGATATTTATGTATGTTGTATTCGGAATCATAAATATAGCAAGAAAATGAGAAGAGTGAAAGTTCCCTATTCGGGCCGATTTATGTTACACAATCATAGTTCAGAGAAAATATCTGTCGCCTTCATCCTCATTGAGCTCTAATCAGTTTAAAGGGCTGTAGAGTTGACACTTAGCGCAACGTTTTTCCGTGACAATAAACTAGTTTGAGATTAGCTAAATCTGTGCAGAACCGATCACCGGTGATCTCCGCGAGATGCATGCCGGTTAGAAAAGTGTCCGAAGGCTTGTTTGAGATGCGCCTCGCCTTGCCTGAAATGTAGGTGAGAGTAGGCGGCTGCAGTGAGGGGAGGAGTGAAATAAGCGCAGTCAAGACGGACAGTTCTGACCTCTAGAAGTGAACAGATACCAACGAGATCAAAGGCGGATATCGCGTTATTCTCACTAATAAACATGATATAATTTCAGTTCTGTTGCTTTGATATGAAAATAAATATGATGAACAAGACACTCAAAGTGCTTGCTATTTAATTCCATACGAAAGGTGTATTTATCATCCATTTTTACTTTAATACAAACATGTAATTTATATTTTTTTATAGAAATATGACACAATCACATTATCTCACACAGAGATCGCACTGTCATAGTGTTTGGGAACATTCATGCATAATTTAAATACATAATCACATGAAATCAGATAAAAAAATTTAATATTTTAGAAGAGAACCGCAGCATCACAGTTGTTTGAACCAATGAGCATTAAGCTGTGTCATCAGTCAGTCGTTTCCCATCATGCTTTTGATCAGCGCAGTCGGTGGAGAGCAACTGCGCTCGACTGCACAACCCGACACAGCCGCCTCGCCGTCGCGAGAGTTTTTTTGCACACATCAGGTGCGTTCGACTTGAAGCACCGCTACAGACGGCAGTCAACGAGAGCAGCCGCTTGCAGTCGGGGGCGGAGGTGAAAACACAGCTCGCGCGGTGTTTGCATACTCTGTCACAGATGAAGTGAATTAAATGCAATATTTGTCAAATACACAGACGTTTCAGAAACGTTTTCACGAGCAACAGAAACACTTTTTATATACTGCTTAATACAGCCCCATCTGTTCAAGAATAAAGTTAAACGTAAATATATACTATTTAAATACTAATAAAGTGGGGGTATATATGCTTTCATGATAAACGTGACTCAATATAACATAGCGACTACAGTAAAAAAGCTTTTAATGTTCTAAAAACACCGATTTGTGAGCGGGATTGGATTTGAAGATGTTAGAAACACACGTCATTGTTGTCATGTGGTGAATTTGGCCAATCGTGAAACAGCTGTGTCGTCATCAGCGCTCCTGCAGTCGCTCTGAAAAAGCTGCGCCAGCTGAGTCAGCCGGCTGCTCTCGAAACGATATCGCGGTACTTTGATGCCACACGTGACAGTGACGTAGCGTCGGCGCTGGTTCAAGTCGGACAACATTTCTAACCGGCATGCACGGCTTCAAGTCAGCCGCCGATCGGTCTGCGCGGCGCCGCATGAAGTCGAACGCACCTATCAGCATGACATCAGAGCAAGTCGGAGGTAACTCGGACACTTTTCTAACCGGCATGCATCTCGCGGTGATCGGTTCTGCGCAGATTTTGCTCATCTCAAACAAGCCTAAAGTCGTATGGTTTAGATTAACCAGAGGTACCTGATTCATAAATGAACAGCTCACTTGAGTTGGTTCTCTTCAATGAATTGATCAAACGAGTTATCAAAATGGTTCTTGATAGATACGGTCGGAATCATTCGGACACCACTTCCACTGAATCGTTTGGAAGGTTTCTCACAGAGTAAACAGTAACTGGATATTTTTTAAAACAAAAAGCATTGCATGCTGTGAATATGCTGCAGCCTGCAGCTAAAGACGTGTAAATCAGTAGTTGACGTTCAAATAATGCCATCTTGAATTGAACTGAATCTCCATACGCAGCGGTGACGGACAAGATTGGCTACCATAGCCTACGGTTCCGTTTGTGTAACTCCATCCTTTTCAGGATATAACAGCTTCAGAGATGGTCTTATTCTTATTATTAAAGCGGCTTTGATAGCTTGTGAGCTTACCCCCGGCTTCACAGACAATTTGCCATTGTGTTTCATCAGTAGAGGGCACTCGCACCATGCAAACCAGTGATGCTTTTGTGTCTCTTGTCCATGATTATCCGATCATTGTCCCTCATGGCCTTCTATGAAAGTGTACTTGGAATATGAATAATTAAATTAGAAAAAAGTCCATACATTTTACCATTCTCATAAATATCTGGCTGTGCTATTTTGCTGGTAACGATTTTTTTCTAAGTTAATTCATGATTAGTCATTAAAATCATATTATTTAGTTCCGGACCTCAGTAACCCTGTTACACAAATCATTCTCCCCCCATAAAAATAATGAGTTGATCCTTATGTGACATCATTAACAGGAAGTGACATCATATAAGTCTTCTGGTCAACATTGTGAGCAGACCCAGGCAAGTTACCACCTTCTTTTATAACTATAACTTATTAATATTTTGATATTATGATGGTCAAGCTTAACGACTCAACCCCGTTACATCAAATAATGATAAACTATTCCTTGTAAAAATGATTTTTGTTATTTTAACATATACATGATTTCTTAATATCATGCATGCCATTTGCTCTCCTGTTATTCACTACATTTAGAACAGTGGCCATTTTGAGCAAAAAATCACAACCCCGTCACTTATTTGATCATAACAGTGTTGTGAGATTGTGACAGGGCTGTGTTTTTAACACTTTGGTTCTGAAATTATCCAGTAATTTAAATTAATTATTATATTTGATCAAGAGTCTTACACCACATGCATAAGTTGAATGTAGTAATGTCCATGTTAAAGCTGTGTGTATGTATGCACGTGTGTTCTGCCTAGATTTTCACATCTCAGTGTTAAGTGAATTGCTCTGAAAGAATGTTTGATTTAATGATATCAATTTAAACATCTACAGACATCTATGAGTCTGATGGCACCGAAAACAGTGGCAGAAAGGCAGAGGCAGTATCGTGCGCGCCTAAATGCTGATCCTGAAAAAAGGGAGAAATACCTATAAAATAAAATTGAATACAGAAATATTAAATGATTTAAATAACTGAAATTATAGGCTAAAAATGAAAACTAAATCCGCCAGCAGGTGGCGGCAAGTCACTGAGTTTATCACTGAATCTTTAATTCAATTGATTCGTTCGAACGGATAAATCATACAGGAATGAAGCAAGTGACTGTCTTTATGAACTGACGGAAATCCGTCATAGCGACTGGACACTTTAATCCCTGTGGAAAACCAGAGCCTGTGTACTTCAGTACAATCTCTCCCTGCAGACATAAAGGCCCTCCAGCAGTATGGTAACACCTCAATCCAGTGCTGGATTACCTTCAGGCCACACATCCACAAGTGTCTGTGCTGCACTTTTTTTAGCGATGGCACCTGTACGCAGTACAAACAACGAGGCAACTTCTTTCTTTTTAGGACAGAATTAGACAGAAGAGGATTCAAGACTGGCTCTTGGAATTTTTTTGAGGCCAGTCACAGCAAAGGAGCCACAGATGGCGTCGGGGGAGCCTTAAAAAGAACCACTGACATGATACTGGCAAAGGGACGTGATATCTCGGCTGCATATGAACTGTTCAAGGCCTTGACTGAGACCAACACAACAGTGAAACTATTCTTTGTAAAGAGTGAGGATGTTGAGAGTGCAATGGAGAAAATGCCAAAGCACATACCAGCAGTCCCAGGAACAATGAGAATCCACCAGGTGATTACTCTGGCTCCAGGAGAACTGATACACCATGATGTCAGCTGCATGTGCGCAACATGGCAGCAGTTTAACTGCAAGTGCTTCAACACACAGTGTTTCAGTTTTGTCCAGAAGGTACCAATTGCTGTGCCACAGCCAGCCAGTGAAGGGAATCCACAGCCACAGCCAGAAAAGGAAATACTGTGGGGAAGTCCAGAGCTGGTTGGGCAGTGGTGCATGCTCCGATTTGATCAAGAGCTGAATCCAGGCATCATCCTTAGCACAGATGAAACGCATGTGCATGTGAAATGTATGCATCGTGTTGTGCCAAACCGATTCCTCTGGCCAGCTCGGGATGATATCCT